ATTGAAAACATTTTTGTTTGCTATAGAAGTAGTTTCAGAGCAAAGAGGTTTGTTAATATTTACGAATATTAATGTACAGATGACAAATACTTTATTTCGTGTCAATATGAATGCATGCTAAGTATGATTATGGTTTTGAAATGCAAATCAAGTTGAGTCAATCGATCAGAATGTTCACTAACTGCGCTTTTCCATTTACTGCTATAAAGTCACATAAAAATATTCGAAAATATAGCTTCCTTATATGAAATAAATAACCGAATATTTAATAAAAACAAATCTATATATTTAAAATATGTAATACATGGAAATAAAAAGTCCAAAAAAAGGAAACATATATGTCAAAACGTCAACTGTCATATTTATACGATGATAGTGCACAGATTACACCATCTTCTTTTGTTTTTTTTTATTACTATGTGTAAAATATTCACTCTACAAATCATTATGTACATAACATTTTGATTTTTATTCCCTTTATGTTTTATAGTAAACAGCTTTCAAAATATCTTAATAGTAATCTTATTATGCAAATGCTTTTAATTTCAAGACAATATTATGTTTATTCCAATTATATACAATTATCTAATTAATCTTTGTATTTATAAGCAAATTAAACTTGTAATCATTTAAAATTGTATCTAATTGATATCCTATTGCAATTTGGGATTTGGAAACGAAATTTACTTTACATAATCTCTAATATTAATTACTATAATTATAAAGTGGAAATACAAAAGAATTTTTTTAACATATTCTGTCGCCACAATATTTATGTCAAGTCTTTATACTTTAAGCCACTTTTGTAAAATGAAGTGCAAATTTTATGAGTTCATTCACCTTTATACTTATCTGATTTTACATGACTGTTCGTGGGAAACTAAATTACTACTATAGTTGTACTACACTTTGTTGTTTTTTCCACAATGATATTGTCTTTGTATTTAAAACCCACTAACTATTGGATTGGAAGTGAAGTCCGAATATTTGTTGATGTCTAAACCGGGTATACAGGATGACTGGTGAATTACTATCGATACTTGAGGACGTGATATTTGACGATCATATATAACACAAGAAAAATTAATATAACATAAATATTAATAAACTTCTAAGTAAAGTTAACCAAAAGTTATGTAATTAATTACGCATCGTGTGAACACCCTACAGATTAGGTATACACACACACACACACACACAGGCGTGCAGCGGCTCGGTGTTGTATCAGCACGCCGCCGCACGCGTCCACACTTGGAACACTTGGAACGTGTCCACACTTTATTTATTTATACGGAAATTTGGTAAAAAATTAAGTACCTATTTTTTTTACATAATTCGAATGAGAATCATGTACCGAGTATTCTCCTTAAATATTGATAGTAATTCACCAGTCACCCTGTATATGACACCCAAGAAAATAATCAAAGTCTTAAATAGCTATTAAAATCTATAAAAGTCTTTATATCCCATATGAGAATATGTAATATGTATTTAGACAATTCATTCATAATTATTTTTTTGTTCGTAAGCGATTATATTTATATTTTGCATATCATAAATTGATTTCGATTTCTTTTTTTATTGTTAGCTATGACACATGGGTATGACCCATTCATCATATATATGTAAAAAAGGTTGCTAGCTATACTTAACTGTTTTCCTTATTATATATGTATATTTTCTTTAGATTTTTGTATAAAAGACATTTAAAAAAGACTTAATTTAAATTTATAATATAAAATTAGCTTAATTTCGCATGGAAGCATTAGTATACTCTTAAGTTAATGAACTCTAGTTTGAATAAGAATTACTTTATTTTACTTTAAAAAGCAAATGTATATGTAGGTAGTTTGAGAATTAAATACATTCATACACATAAAAGAGGTATATAAATTTATGTATAGGTTTTTATTTGCATAAAGCTATTATTTACAACCTTAAAATTCATTCAAAATTGAATAAATTCCTTTAAAATATATTATAATACGCGGAAAGACGAAAATAGTGTTAAATAACTTTGACTATTACATAGCTTGCGTGTGCGCACGATATCTTAGAAGGTAGAGAAAAAATTTACCCAGTTTGAAATAATACGATTAAATAACAGATAACTTATTAAGTAATATTTAAGTAAGCAGTTTACTCAGAAAATTTGTTAGTATAGTAAGTAAATTATATGAAAAGACATAGTTAAGTATTTAAAGAATTTTGAGTACAAATATAATTCTTTACCTTAAATAATGTTCCAATAAATTTAATTGAATTAGTATCGTAAAGGATTTCACATCTTTATGTATAAAAGAAAGTCGTGTTAGTTACACTACTTACAGCTCAAGAATGGCTGTACGAGTTACTCTGGAAATTGGTGGAAAGATAGTTTAGAACTAGGAAAAGGACCTATGGATATTTTTCATTCTCAAAATAAATAAATTGATGAAATCCAAAAATAGCTTATCTACTTCTTCTTCTACCTCGCAACTTCCCATCTTTAGCCAAGTTCTGCCTTACATGTTGTGAATAGCTTTGGCTAATTGATTTTACAACCGGCCGCCTGTCTGACATCAACCCTCTTTGGGAATGCATTAATCAATGATGTCTAAATACTCTTAGAAAGTACATATGACTCGGAAAAATCACATTGGTACTTGACAGGATCGAACCCGCGCCCTCATGCATGAGATGCGGGCCTTTTAACCACTAGGCCACCACTGACTCCCTCATCTACTGTCTTGAAGGAAAAGAGTTAGTTCGGTCAGCTGTACATTTCATTCTGCAAGTGAAGTCGCGGGAAAAACGTAGTAGTTAATAAGAATATTAATTTATAAAACAAATAATTGTTTTATTTGAATAAATACAATATAAACTATTGCTTGAAAACTCCATTAAGTGACAACGTTGTGTTTAAGTTGTATATACTTAAGGAAACAACAAGTTCGCTAAGTGCTTTTTAATATATTCAGTTTCTTGTTAGTACTATGTTGCCGTAAAAAAATATATATATACGAAAAAAACTATGATTATTTAAGATTATTTTCTCATACAAATTTTTGTTCTATAGTCAATATTACTATAGAAAATAGATAGTTCTTATGTTAATGTCTTATTGTGAATAAAGGCCTTGTTCAGCATCTAACTACATCTTACTCACTGGCAGAATTTTAAGTAACATATAATGACTTTGAGAAAGTTAGTGGTGAAAAACTAATTCTTGCTTAGACATTTGACAATTGACAACTAATTTAAATTTCTTCTTTTACGAGGTAGAATTAGTCTCTAGACTTATTATTGACTTTTGCGAATCTGTTATAATGATTCCTATAGATTCAGAGCATTTTTGGAAACTATAGCACTTAACCACAAAGAAGAGAGCGAGGTCTTTGCTCAGCAGTGGCCTTTAATAGGCTGAAGACGAATAGCTCTTAAATACTATCATGAGGAAAGGCAATTACATTTTTTCATTCTAAGTACGACAAATGTCATGCCTTCATGAACCATAGAATGAACACGCGCCAACTACATTGGCTGTCACTTAAGACTGAGTTAATAACTAGTCTTCTTTAAAATAATAATTATATAGACGCCTTTCTTTAATTCGACAAACTACTTCGTGTTTCTTCAATACAATACTCAAGATGTATAATATTTTATTCGTTGATTCGTCGAACAAATATAAAACGTTGATATTGCCAAGATATTCCACGATTACAGGGTGAATGAAGACATAGCATTAAACAAGACCTGGTTAAAATAGAAGCAATTGGTTGCTCTAAAGTCTAAGCACATGTAAAGGGATGTTATTGAGGTTTAAAGTTCGATTCCTGGTTGCGTCTATGAATTTTCCATACATATTTTCTTATATCAATTTGATGTCAAGTTTTTATTTCAGCTTTTATTTAATATTTAAAACCCAACTAAAATTATCATTAAAGTTTTTATAGCAAATTTGTTATAAAACACTGTTGATTTTCTGCCGAAATGTCTTCTTATAATTATGTTATTCATATGAACCTTCTCTATAGTCAAATTTAACAACTTTACCTCTTAATGGATGAAGAACTTTAAGGATAGCGCTACATTTGGACTATACAAGTCATGTTTTATACTTTAAGGCCTTCAATAGTTCTATCTTCTGTTTTCTTTCATATTATTGAAGGGAAACTTCTTATGCGACTTTCAACAAGGTTGCGTTAAACGTTTAACGTTCCGCGGGAGGAATAAAAAGAGACAGAGAGAGAAGGAATGCGTGGCGCTTGGACGCATAGGGTCTATCAGTTGTAACTTCTAGGTAATGTTAAGAAAATTTGTCTTAAAGATACATTAAGTAAAAATTTCTTCTAAATCAATTTCAACCCCTTCCTGTTTTCAGTCGAACATAACGAAGTTTCACTTCTACCGCGTTAAGGGTACTTCTCCACGCACAATTATTTTTTTTTGTATTTTTTTCGTACTAAATATATGATGAATATATTTAAACTTACTTCTTCACTCATTATTAGAGTCAGTATGATTTTAATCTTATTGAAATTACTTATCACTTTATAATATAAGTTTGGATAATTGCTCACTAAACTTAAATATTATGAAAAGTAGTTATTATGATATATTAGAAGATAATGCAAAAAAATCTTCGATATAGTTTTAATACTGTCGAAATTAGAAAGATCTTGTTAGTTCAAAATCTCTTAATATTTGAGTTTTCTTATAGTTTAAAAGGAATAAAAATTACTAACGTTAAAATAGCTCATAATCATTATTATATAAGTATAATACACATAATAATTCTAATATTTATTTGCCCGCTAGAAATCGATCTCGTTCTTAGGGCGAAAGCAACTTCAAAATATTGCTTACACAACATAATACAAATGTAAAATAATACATAATATATTAAATAGAAATAAATAAAGTGCATTACACGTAAGTCGTAACTATAATAATCGTAAAAATTATATATATTCCTATCACGGCTAGAAATCCTCAGACAATACAATGAACCCTTGATGGATTCCGTACACGTCTTGGCCATATTACGAAAGAAAGGAAGCGATTCTAACTGTAAACGAGATGTTTTGGTAAAGTGGACTCAATTTTAATAGTATTTGGGTTGAAAATCCAGGTTGAATTAATCATGCCACTAGGACAGACGTCTTGATACAAGTGTTCTATTATTTACTTATGTAATATTAATTTTAATTGACACAAGTTAAATCGGTTTTCCTTTTTTCTTAGCAGTTTAATACATACGAGGCATGTAATAAAAACTTTCCTTTCCGACTTTATAGGTATTGGATTATAGTGTATGTAGTTGAGTAATTCTAAACGTAAATCAATTATGGTAATGTTCTGTGAAAGTCAATGGTTTCGTTGCAAATCGTTTTTTTACTTTTTCCATTCCTAACTTATTTCAAACTTATAGAAATTTAAAAGAGCATTTATTATATAAAATGATATTTTAAGTTTTCGTTTTTGTAAACTTAGTTCCGCAGAAAAAAAAACATATTATAGTTTTCGTAAAAAAAAACATGAGTAAATAGCTGTATAAATTTTAATTTGGAATTCCTTACCAAAGACCTAATATATTATCGATATTGTTCTTTGAATAGCAAAAATTATTGTTATCAATTATAGTAATTTTCTGTAAGTTTATGTAAATTGCTATGTTTTGCGAGGATGCACAGTTTATAATAACAACGCATAACAAAGTAATTTCCCGACCAAGGCTCTGCTGTTATTCGCTCATAAACAGTTGAGGCTCACCTTTTCCGCAACAAAGAAATATTTACTTTGAAAGTTATTTACTGTGTTTAGATTTAATAATAGTTAATATATTTTAAGTTATTTATTTACATATTGAGCGTGGTTTAGATATAATAATAATATTTAATTTAGAAGCGTTTAAATATCTATTTTGTATTCGTTTAAGAACGACTTATCTTCATATTTGGCTCGATTTAAATATGTATGCAAAAGTGTAAAACGCAAAATTTTTACTTATATTGTATTTATATTATTCTTTTACTTATAATATTTAGAATTAACTACAAGGTTACAAACCTTTTCATGTGAATCTCTTATCAGTGTATAGAGTAGATAATTTCATTAATAGCAGGTGTAAAACAATTTCCCATTCATTGATAGTTTGTTCACACCATTGAAAATTCCTCATCTATTTTCTCCCATGAAGTCAATTTTATCGCGGAAACCCGTCTAGGGAACTTGCAATTTCTTTGAATAAATTGAAATTTATAATTTCTATCGATAGCGATTACGTTTTTGTTTGTATTGTTTATTTTTTCTTTTTTTTTTCTGTTAGAAAAATGTTCTCGAAATGTATGAAGTAAATTAATTAATTACGTAATAAATTTTTTTCAGGACCACGATGCAGAGGGACGAAAACGATTAAAAAACTACCCTTTTATAAGGTGTGAAAAGGCTCAGTTTTGAATAACATAAAAAATTATAAGATTCTGCCACAAACAAAACCAATTATTAAATGACCTTAGATATGTGATACTAAAGCTTGTGATAGAGGTCAAGTTATGTTGGTTTGTTTCGAGTGATTTGTATCAATTCAGTATCAATGAAGGTGGAGCAAGTAGCTATGTCGGTAAATGATTTGACGGATGCGGATCCTTCACCGAAGTTGCGGATGAAGCCGGCTGTGAGGCGGATATTCTGCTGCAGTGTGACTGCTGCATCCGGATTTATTGCTGCTTATGCATTGGTAAGATTTTGCTGCTGCTTATGCATTGGTAAGATTTTGCTGCTGCTTATGCATTGGTAAGATTTTTTATGTCCAAAAGCAAACGAGCAGACGGCATACTTGATCGTTATAAGTCATTCCCCATTGGACATTTGCTATATAAAGGGTTTTAAGATTTTGCGAGTCTTATTCATTTAAATGAAACTAAAATATATTTTTTTTATTTTTGATAAAAACTTTATACTTTCGGCTACTTTTCAGCAATATTGAACACGGGCAGACGATATGTGATTTATCATCTGCCGCGTAATATAATCCGAAAAATATTAGTTTCATTTAAATATATAAAGGGTGTTCAATATAACAGGGTTTTGTAGATGCTTGTTTGTGGAGGAACCACGTGAATACTTAACATTTTAAAAGACAAGTTAATACATATCTTATATATATAAATGATATTTTTGATTGAATTAAATTTTTAGATTTATATTATAATTCCGATTTGCTTCCTGACATCTTTATCAATTAAAAGCAATGTAAAATCCTTGAGTATATTTATGTATCAACGTCCAGATTAGACATATTTATATACGCGAATTTTAAAGCGCGTTGTGATGATAGAACTTACGGTTCCTTGGGAAACCAACATCCCCAAAGACCGTACCATCAAGGTCAATAAGTATTACGAGCTGACATACAAACTCACTAAGTATAGGTTCGTTGTAAATTTTTAACCTGTTTAAAGACTGGCCTGTCTAAAACTAATATTAGTTCATTCTTAGAACGTCCCTCGAAGGCAGCCCTAGTAGGTTCTTTTCAAATTTGGTTAGGTAGGGAGAGGAGCTTGGAGAGTGGAGGTGAGCGTATAACGCGCGTTAGTTAAGGGGCCCCTTAAACCTACACCTGGGTCGCAAGTCCCAGTCACTGTTGAAGCTCCTCTCACTACAACGATGGACCCCGCTACCGCATACATTGAATGTTGAGAAGTTTTGTCTTTATGATTGAGGTATTGCGAGATTTAATGCTCGAAATTACTCGAGTGCTTGACATGGTCATTTAGCCTATGTAGTATAAGAAGCAGTCTAGACATTTCAAATCTCAATTTAAATTGTTTCAGAGCATAAATTACACACGTATGTACATAATATTTTCTTTATATACCTAGACAATAATGTGAACGATTTACTATTACGATAAACCTACAATTTTAATGTTTGAAATTGTGGACCTATTTTACCTTAAAAAAAATTTAAAAATCCTCATTTCAGTCTTTTTATTTTTACGAATTATTTATGGCCAAAATAATACCTTAGTTTCAACACTAACATTTTAACCCTTCACGGCAACAAAAAAAGATACATTTTTAACTAAAGACATATTTATATTGACATCAAAGTCAAATAAAACAATTACAAACTTACAAACAATTAAATAACAAAAAAAAAAATCAATTACACTCACTTCATAAGTCGCAACAAACTCAATAACTTTAAAACATACTTAATGTTGACGCACTTGAAACTTACTTCCTAGTTCCTGCATTTTAAGCTATATAAAAAGCTAAATAGCTCACATATAGCTCATAGCGGATTTATCACGCTTAACTAGAACCAAGAATCTAGAATGTCTCGGACTCAGTAACCAGACAACATTGTTTCAAATAGAAGGGGCGTTAAGGCCAAGCTATCTAGATGTTGAAACAGCTAGTAACGCGTAATGCCTTCAAATATAGATTTATATAGAGATATGAATATAATGTTATGCTAATGATATAAGCTTATAATGAATTGTGAGTGTAGAATTATATAATATGTTATGTACGGTTGAAAAAGGTGGTAACGTCAACAAAAAAAATTGTAAAAAAAAAATCGGTCATATTTTTTGTCTGTACGTTAATGTCTAGTGTTGATGATGGGTAAATACTAGAACTTAGTAATTTTTAGAGATTATAGAAGGTTATGTCTTACTTCTTAGTTTATTAAAGAGATTTTGCTTGTTCACGTTTTTTGATATGTTGAAATGTAGAGCGATTCTACTTTGAAGTAGTATTGGTACTTAAAATATATTATGTTCAAAACTTCAGTATCAAAACTAAGTAATATATTTATATATTGAATAAATATGAGTTATAATATGAAACGAAACATGATGTATTAGACTATCAAAGCCGTTGATATAAACGTACCTACTATTAAAATAATATATTCAATAATATAAATTAAATTTAGTATAAACAAACTTAAAATCTTATTTAATCAAAGTTTCTCTAATATATGACTAAAACTAAATCATACGGTTATAATTACGTTCATACAATCATTATTACCGAGACCGTTTAAACTCGTAATTCGAAGTAAATACAGAATTGCTAAGATTGTTTTAAAGTTAATTTGGTAACAAAAATATGTAATACTTACTTCCAAATTTGAATTTAAAACCACGCAATTATCGCTTAAGTTTCTTATAAATTTTAAACGACAATAATTATGAAGGACTGTAAATATTATGCCAGAATATGTCCAAAGAGGTTTTATGTATCAAATCTATAACTAAAGTGTATAATATAAAAATGAAATTTATTGTATGACTTGTTTTATTTACATAATTTATTTTTATTCCATTAAGATTGGTATCTTCTATGTATTTCCTCTTTATTTCTGATTTCATCCGGACTAATGATCTGATTTATATGAAACTTAATGAGTATGATAAGTCGTACATATAAAAAGTGACTCTTTCCCCCACCACACCTTTTCATCCGCGAATTTTTCGACCTACCCTCGTATATATATTATTCTTACATTTTCCCAGGTCGCGTACGCCATAGCACTGATATATGAGATAGTATGGGTGGTTGAAGCTCAGGCAGGCCTGCCAATAGCCTCCGCGCTGCTCATGATATGCTACTGTGTAGTCATTGCTGCTACAGTCACTTTAGTACATGGACTTATATCGGTAAGTTACGACAAATATATATAAAATCATATGTTTGTTCGATATTTTAATTAGAATGATGAAGATGGTTCTTTTGTGGTTTTTATGTAAATATGTATATGTATAATGCTTAAAGAAAAGAGGTTGCATTTTTAGTGTGTCATGAACATTACGTGCAAATCAAAGTTTATCATTTTTTTGCGTTTTTTTTTAAATTATTTATTTATTACAATTAATGAGATCTAAGATTTTCGCGAGTATTCATTTCAATGTAACTAATATTTTCGCATTTACTACGCTGTTTTTTATTTTCGATTATAAACTACATACATAATCCCGACGTTTCGGTTACTTTACAGCAACCGTGATCACGGACAGACGAGATCACGTGTCATTTATTATTAGAATTCTTTTAAATATTTTACTTATATACAAAATGTATATTTTAATTTAAATAACTATTTTTTTCAAATTACAGAAAAACAACACATTTCTTCTGGCGTGGTTGATCTCAGTAATTCTTGTTTTAATACCAGAATGTGCGCTAGTCTTTTACATGTCCATAAATCATTGGGTAAGTACGAACATCTATCAATTTTACCTATTTATATAAATGAATCCCTATTTCCATTGGTCAAGCCATTCCGCGTCTACCTTAACCGATTTTACTAACATTATTATTGTTTTATTTATATTTATACATATATAAGTAGAAAGTTCGTATGAAATTTAGACGAATTGCTCGGAAAATAAAAAAATAAAAAATTAACCCTAGTTTACCTTAATATTTATTTAATCTACTTTTTTCCAAGCATATTTTAAATAACTGTCAGTTATTGAGACATCGCATACCTTCGATATAATTAACGAAGACCTCGTAACTCTGTAGTAATTTTGTATATATATATGCTTTAATCAGAGTTATATAACTCATCAATAAGGGCTTTTTTATTGCGACCCACCATCTATAGTTTTTGAAACGACGTACATCCCTTAACCAAGTTCCTGTTGTGTATGATGTCTTTGACATGACAGAACGAGATTTTTGGGTCTACTACTTACTGAATAAAACAATTACATCCGATTTATTGAACTATTTTTTTTTTAATTTAATTTCGGTAATCAAACTCTATCCAATCTTAATAACATTATCAAATTTATAAAATGATAACAATATGAATACATAAAAAAAATCTCAATTAGTCAGCTAACTTATATTTCCTTAACTTTGTCATCAGAAGGAAAAATGTGTGTTCTTAATAATTATAAAGTAAATGTAATTCATATAGCAGATTTTTTACAAGGTACCTATTTAATATGCTGTAGATTCATAACTATAAGAACTTAAGAAGTAAATAAGACTAACTAAAGACGATTATTTAAATATACAGGGTTGTATTTTAGTCAGAGACTGTACCTTAGTAAGAATTCCTTCACTACATAGTTAGCTGTTACGATATATTTGTATGTATAAACGAAAATTCCATTCGTATATCAAATTCTATTAAGGACTTGTAATTATTATTTTATTCAAATAATTACATACAGATATAAACTCTGCATTTATATGATTTGTTTTAATTAAATTATGTTTAATATTACGATTTACGAACACCGTTTAAAAGCAAGTCAGTATTTACAAAGCAATAATATTGTTCTGAGAATCATTTTATATCCTATGATATACATAAACACAGACTCAAAAACATTCCAACATTTTCACTATGAATTATTACCAGAAAAGTCTCTTATTTACTTAGTATTTAAATGTTTTTCATACATTTTCTTTATATAACTACTTTGATGGCTTAACAATGAGCTATTGAGCTATGATCAGTATATTAGACGGCAATAATTGGAAAGACCGTATAAGGCTATTTCAAATATTAAAATTTTATCAATGTGTGATACATATAGTAAATCATAATGTCATCAGCCTATCAACGCCCACTGCTGAGCAAAGGCCTCTTTCACACATGGAGTAGGTTTGAGTATAAATCATCACGCTTGCTCAAGACGGGTTGGTGATTTCAAACTTATAATTGTGTAATTATAAGTCCAGGTTTCACGAGGTTTTCCTTCACCGTATGTCAGTAATGTCTAAATACTCTTAGAAAGTACATACGTCTCAGAAAAATCATAATAAAATTGTTTAAAAAACCCTTTATAATAGATATATTTTTTGTTATTATTTATGATGAAAGTAGTTATTTATTTATTTATAAAATATATAACATTTTCAGGGTCTCCAAGGCGTATATGGTGGCGCTGAACTCGCGTGTTACGTGGCCCGACTGCCGGCTCTCGTGTGTGGTGTTGTGCTCGTACAGTCAGCTTATGCGCTCAGGGAGGCGAGGTGACACACACATATATATAAAACACACACACACACACATACACACATACGAATAAACACAATGAATGTACAATTAAAATAAATGCTCAAACTCACCAATATGTACGGTTAACGGTATATATGTTTATATGTATATAATAAAATGATTACAATAACAATTGTATTGACCATAATACCTATTTTGTATTATTTCAAGGAATGTTTTTTGTGTATATTTTTTTAATGATAATTTGTAAATTATTATCATCTATAGGTTGTCTATGCACTTTTTTATAGAATATATTTTACGATTCCAGTGCTAGTGAGGCCAGAGCATAAAACTAATTAAACTTGAACTCCTAACCAAAACAATAACAAAAGACTAATATGTAAAAAAGTCACATTAAGAAACGTGAAATTTGACAGATTCTATTAGATTGTAAATATAATTATGTATACAATAATCGTTATATGATTAAACTGTAGTTATTGTTAAAAAATATTATGAAATTGTGTACTTTTTACAATATTTAATATTTATAATTAAATCATAAATTTTATGTTAATTTTTTCAGAAAATCTGATTACGCGGCCGGCGTTCCCGTCAGTGGTAGTGAATTTGACGCCAGCCACTTTGTACCGGACTCAAACATCGCGTTCACTAACGACGGTTTCTTACCTGACAATGGTGTGTCATACGAATTGTTTAAATTATATATTAGTATTATTAAAAACCACAAACTTCGTATATAGTCTGTAACAATATCAGTAAAAAACATAGGGAGGCATAACTAAAAATTTAACACTTTAATTTTGACAGCTAATTCATCCTATGAAAAAGTAATTGGACGTAAACAATAACAAAACCTTCACAAAATTATTGACAACATAAATCAGTGTTGCCACTTAATAAATGTTAACCTACCAAAATTATTTCCATTTTAATGTAATTATAATAACATGAAATTTAATGACCACAGGTAAATCAGGTTCAATGCCAGATCTCCGTCGTCATTTAGCGTCACGTCAATCCATGATGGGTTACCCCATGATGTTACCACAACCACCACCCGCATACTGGCAACACCTGGCTGATAGGCAGTACGCGGCTTCATTACGAGGATATCCAAAATACGCTCCACAACATTTCGGAACATGGGTCGGACCTAGAACAGGTCCAGAAAATCCATACAAAAGACGCCATTCAGTTGTAGGAGCGTTTAATATAGACGAATATCCCAAAGAATATTACGAAGATAGAATGGATTGTAAAAGCGAGATGGGCTATCCGTACAGACCTTATATATACGATCCGAGGATGTATCCAACGGATTACGATCCGAGATTCCCGAACGATTACGGTCACTTAAGACACGATCCATATCACTTCAGTGGATCAAGAGAAAGAGTATTTTATGGTATAAGAAACAGTCATAATTCAGTCGGCAACGAATCAGATGATTTGACTAAATATAAAGACGTCGCTTTATAAATAAGATTACAACCAAACTATTGAATAGACTTAAAGGAGTCTTAAACATTATTTATAAGCAATATTAATTGTATAGCTAATAATAATTTCAGTCAATTATTTGGTGCATAATATAAGTGTACATTTATATAAGATATCTGTTAGTGTTGATTTGTTTAGTCTGTGCAATAAATCTTAAGTTATGTTTTTTTCAAAACAAATATATTAAAAAAAAACACTCAAGACAAGAAGGTTATTATATAAATTGAATATAGATTAAATATATTGTCATTATTTTTTATATGTTTACTTATATATTTCTCTACAAATATTATTCTAAAGCTCTAAAGAATATACAAAAAACTTTTATATAAATAAACAATATATAAGATACCAATTCCCTTTTAAGTATTAATAATTTTAGTGTGTTACCTAACAACCAAAGTACTGTAATTGCTATTATGAAATGTGAAGCAAAATTTTTCAGTCACTATCATGTGTAAGTAATAAGAATAAATGATTTTTCAAGATTTGTTCTCTTATTTTCCTTTATATGTAACAATATTTTTATCACCTTATCAGCATAACAAACATTAAGTATAAAAAAATAGTTAGGACAAAAAGTTATTTCGAATTGAATCACTGTTAGTATAAGAAATTGGTCAAATCATTATTTTTTATTTTAAATTTTAGGCAATGCCAAAAAAATATGTCAATAAATGACAAGTGCGAATAAAAATACAGATAAAGTATTAACTGAGACTCGAGAGAGATCAAAATGCTTTTTATTAAACTCTTGACAGATTACAATAGATTACACTACCCAGTGACGCTCCCAAAGCCGTAGGGCTAAGATCAAAATATATTACAAAAAAAACAATACATTACACAAGTTGGCAGTTGTTTCTTTAATATATTTGCTGTCTATTGTCGGTGATTTATTATAATGATAGATTTTAGTTGCGTTCCAATTTAGGTTTTGCTAGAACACAAAAACGTCTTTGAATTCTTTCAAAACTTTAGCCATATAAATTATTATTCATTACTCGAGTTGTCGTTATGACTTGTGTGTGAATGAAATTATTTTCATAATTAATAAAAAATACACATTTATAATATATGACAAGACAGTCCAATTTTAATTAAAATTTTTCATTGAAATGTCAAAGAGTAAGATTAACAATATTTAATTAATGAATAAGGGCCTATAAACTTTCGAAATAACATAACATTACAACTACAAGTACTTTAAATAAATAAAAACAGATGGGCCATATACAAATGTTAATAATATTTTGATTCTAATATCTTATACAACTTATTCTTATATCTTTACTAAAATTTCCAATTTAAGATGATAATTATTATTTTAAATTATAAATGTTCTGTTTTAAGTTTATCATATCAGACTAAATTTGCTTAAAACTGAACGCAATTTATTCACTTTAGGAACGCAACATATAGTATTTACGGAAAAATAGAAAGTATTAACTGTGACATAAGTTTGATTTTTGTATAACAGTCTGTTCTGCGATCGGCATCCACAAAACTTGTCAAAGAGTTTGGAAGTTAGAACTGAAGTCGTCGACATTTATTAAAAGTTTGGAAGTTTTTGATTCTTTGAAAAGTTATTATGACGTGTCTTATGTGTTTTTATTGTGTTAAAAAATTCCTATAATCATAAATAGCCTATAAAATATTAGATAACAAGTTTACCAAAACTTTTTGTGTTGCTTAAAGTTGAATAACTGTTTATTGTTTTGTGTAGGTGGCTACATAAGAAGATTGGTTTGTCTCGATGTGAAAGTATATTTTCGCATAAAATTTAAATCCCATTGTTTAACTCATTCCGGGTACCGTCTATGAAAATGCAGTGTGTTATACTTGCGTAAGATATTCTATTGTTTTTGCTGGAGTGCAATGAACATATTGCATATATGAGTCCAACTAAAGAAGTAAGTCTCGTATTTTGTAACATAATCATTTAATCAAATAATATATTATTTACGAACAACAAGATTATTATTATTACTTTCAACTGAGAAATATATAAGTGAAAATTTTAAACACTAAAATACCTTTAAAGTTATCTCAGGAATGCTGATAATAATTTGATATGATATGAGAATTCACTTGAAACTACTATAAAATTTTCATATATTCTGTATTTCAAAAATTTTACTTTTATTTATTATTAATATTTTTAATGCTTATTTCACTTATAAGTTTATCCATACAATTAAAATATTATTAGAAGTACAAAGTTTTAGTTGTATATTATTTACAGAAACCGTCATTGAACAAAATGAATGCTCCACCACAGCAACTAGTTCTATCATCAGGTAATATTCTTTATTAATTCTTCTATTTACTTCTTAATTCTCTTCTGTATAAGTCTGACCATATATGAGAAGGTGGCATAATTCTTACATTTTACACATGTAATATACAAATTTCATAAGTTAAAATAACCAACTTAGTTATTAACTTATTATTTAACTAGATGTATTTTTATTTATTTGTTATATATATACACCTTTACAAACAGTTCAAATTGAAACAAAGGTACAACCTAAATGAAACTATAATTTCAATTTTTGAGTGTATTGTAATTAAAAAAAAATATGAGTAATCCTAAATATTATTGGCACATTGCTAGAATATTCATACATTAAAAGAATTTGTTTAAAATTTTTTAGATTAGAGTCACATTATAGTAAAAATTTTACAATAGTTATAAATAACTTTTTTACTTGCTCTTAATGAGTTTTTAATTTTGTAAACCACCTAATTGAGGGTATCAAGGTCCATATTATATTATGAGATTTTCAATTAAATATGTTTTTCTTTAGACTTTAAAAATATATATCTTTACTAATAGTTAAATAAATGATAACCATATTTCCTTATACATATATAACCATAACAATATGATAAAAATTTAAATCAGGAATCCACATAAATTTTTAATTATTTGAATCATTCTTCAAATTGCAATATATTGTTATACTTGCAGAACAAACTATGTGAAACAGTTAGTAAAAACAAAAGTTAACTAAGAAGAAATAATGGGCATTTAAATTAAGTGTTAATTAAACTATAAAATTACATATGTTTTATAGTAATTTATTGCATTTTTTAAATTAAATATCTCATCGTATTTTCTCATTCAGTTTTTTGTTGCCAATTATGAGTTTATGTCATTATAGAGTACTTCAAGTATCTTGTTTATACTGACATTTATCATACATTTTATTCTGAGTTTTGTCAAAGTATATAAAATGATAATTGTAACTAAAAATTATATAAGTTAAATCTTATCTTATGACTAATTTCAATAATTATTTTAGCCTAAACATTCACTAAAGATTATTATGTATAATGGTAGAAGACTTTTGTATCATGTGTTGCCATTAAGTATTGAGAAAATAAAATCAATGATATTAAAGAAAAAGTTTGTTTATGGTTCATCATAACTTATGTTATGTTGCAAGTACAAAATACAAAAAATCATTATAGTTTATTACATGGGTTAAATTCTTTATAATATTTTTATAGTGTATATAATGTTATGTTTTAAACTCCATTTTCCGACCTCGAGGTTAAATTATTAACAATAAAATTTTTACACCTTAAAACACTCACAGACTTTCTTAATACATACATAACTTGTAAAAGAATGTGATGTTGATGGCCCTGCGATTAGTATGAGTTTAAGTAATCAAACAGACTCTTAGAAGTGTTGGTAGTAAGATCAAAGTTATATGGTTTTAGGTATTATAACTAAAGAAAAACTAAAATAAATTTTTAAAGTTCACAATTATAAGTATTTAGAAGTTAATATTTTTTGTCAAATCAATCATACAGTGTACATATTTATTACTCTTATATATCAAAATATCCTTTATTTATTATTTCTTTCCGATTCAATAAATTATTTAAAACAAATATGTTTTAATCGGAACATTACTATCTGCATCACAATAGTATTTACATGTTACATATTTATATGATCTAATATTTGGTTGAATGTTTGTTTTGTTTTATAATACTTATTGTAATGATGTAATACAATACTATCAGAGGATTAACAATGTTATGACGGAACACAGGAACAACTGATTCAAACTATACATAATACTGTGTCTTTGCCTATATATTTCTATTGTTTGAAGTACTTTATATTAGTTTAGTAGCTTTTATTGACTAATAAACAGACAAAACCTCTCAGCATTTAATGTATTCACCGTGCGGGTGCCGGGTCCATCGTTGTAGAGAGAGAAGCTTCAACAGTGACTGGGACTTACGACCCAGGTGTAAGTTTAAGGGACTGCTTATCTAACGCGTGTTATAGGCTCACCTCCACTGTCCAAGCTCCTATTAATATAGAAATATTACCGTAGAAGATTACCAATATTACTTGCATAAAGTTTTTGATAGTTTAAGTCAGTTTTTAAGATTATCCGTAGCAAACAAAGTACCTAAATATTTTAAAATAATAGATAAGTATGGCTTGTCTGTGTGAAGTTGTCTCGTCATTTAAACTAATGGTTTTGGAACTTCGTTACAAGTCTTATACTACTGCATGATAATATTAAATGCTTGAATGTTATTTGATGCTTTGTTGACGAAAAAACTTGAAATGATTAATAAAATTACGTTCATAGTATATGGAATAACATAATAGTTAAATATTATATAATATAAATTTCCATAGAAGACGTATGTATAAAATATTCTCGTTTACTTGTCTTGTCTGTCTATATCTCTAAAACTGAGATGTCTAACATTTTAGTAATGTACTTTTTTTGAGTTTTCGTCGTTAAACTATATACTATGCGTTCGTAGTATGTAAATTAATAACCTACGTTAGTACTATAATGTGAGAAGATTTATGAATGACAAACTGTTAATGCTACGTATATAGTGTAATGTTTAACTTGGACTAAGCGTAATAAACTATTTGTCGTCTCCCACGGGATTCATTGTTTCTTAATAGACTTTACATTTTTTAACGTATATCATATATCTAGAAAATGATTTACTGACGCTCAACTTTTGTCAAATAGAATAGAAGGGTTATACAATTTAGTTAAATATAAAATATAATACAACAAGACTTTAATTACAGTACTGTACAAAATATTTTTGACGATATATTTATTTTATATAGATTATTTTGATAAAGAATTTCTGACTAATGATTTAGAGGTTAATGATTTCTAAAACGACATTCAGTCCTAAATGGATCCTTATTGCTAGTGGCAAAACTCACAATGGTATTCTTGTTCTTGATATAATAAAGGGGCGGTTTAACGTAAAAATAGTACAAAGAAAATATAATCGATCAAGATTTATGTTTTATATATGGTAGATATTAATAAAGAATCAGGAAACAAATCGAATAAGATATAAAGGAATTACTTAGAGGCTTGAAGGCAATATATATTTAGTAGATGCTATGAAAACATAATGTACATGACGTTATCGGCAACATTACCTTATCTCGCTAATTAATTAATAAATGAATTAATCAACAACACAATTATAAATTAATATTATGTTGAATTTACATTAAGTTTAGGTTCATTCTTATAACGTACTTCAAAGGCAGCTTTAGTAGGTTCATTTCAAATTTGGTAGAGAGAGGAGCTTGGACGGTGGAGGTGAGCGTATAACGCGCGTTAGATAGGGGCCCTTTAAACCTACACCTGGGTCGTAAGTCACAGGTACTGTTAAAGCTCCTCTCCCTGTAACGATGTACCCTTCACCCGCACGGTGTATACATTCTTCTTCTTCTACCTGGCAATTTCCCAGCTATGGCTAGAGTCTGCCTTACATGTTGTGAATAGTTTTGGCTATTTGTTTTTACGACCGGCCCGCGTGCCTGACATAAACCCTCTTTTGGGAATCAACATTAATCAGTGATGTCTAAATACTCTTAGAAAGTTCATATGACTCGGAAAAGTCACATTGGTACTTGCCCGGGATCGAACCCGCGCCCTCGGCAACGAGAGGCGGGTCCTTTAACCACTAGTCCACCACTGACTTAATTGAATACATTGAATGATGAGCAATTTTGTCTCTTACTTACCACAAGTTCGTTATTAATTTCTCAAACTAAACGCAGATAGTTTTCAAGTTTTCAAGTATATACATTGATAATATCAAACAAAGATTTATGAATGTAAAACTATTAAATGTTCGTTTAATTTGACGATGCATACTATTGGTAAGTTTTAACGCGGAAGTAATTTCAATAAATATCTTTAACCAATTAACATCGTTACGCTATTGGTTAGATAAAATGTTTCAATTCTATACTAAGTCTGTATTCATTGATATTGTTTTCGAAAGAATGTTTTATTTACAAATTTTATGTATACTTTGTTCATATTAGAAATAATATTATTTAAGTGGTAGAGCCTAGTTGTGGTCAGTCAATACATCTCGAATATGTGCTGGCTCGACCGGGGAAGTATTACCCTCTCACAGAAAATCGGCGTAAAGTAGTCTTTGGCTGCGTTTCGTCCGATGAGTGTAAGAACCGGTTTCCCTATCCCTGTTCCCACTATTTCCTGCAATTTCCTTATTCCCACACCACCCTTTCCCTCAAAAACTAAAGTTGGAATTTCATCCGTAACATCTATGTTTCGGATGTCCATGGGCGACGGTCACTACTTACTACTGCCCATCAAGTAGGCCGTCTTTCTCATAAAAAAAGTATTCCTAGTAAATATATTTTGCCCTTCAGAAATTCCTAAATCTTAAAAATATATTTCGCTATCTTCACGTAATGTAAAGACATTAGAGTTTTAAGAAACAACGATTTTTATAAGCACTTTAATGTTCCATAATGTCAGTTTTCTTTCAAACAGGAAAACTTTGTTAATACATCGAACAACGAGGACGAAGTCGTTTGCATAAGCTAGTTTTATTAGTAGAACGATCATTGGTTTCATTTTGCGAATAAGTGGTAATTATATATGGTGTTTTAAATTATTATTCAAATATTTTTTTTTATACTAATTGTCTAAGTAGTCTTTTTTTCAATACTTTTTATATGAATATCAAATTTAATTAATTTATTATTATATTATTTTTAATACAGTCTGAATATTTGCCAACCAGTGTTTTTAAAGGATAAGTTTATGAGCTACATCCGAATACAAGAACGTTAGTCTCGGTTACGCTAAATTACTTATTGTTTTAAATATCCATAGTTTTTGAAGGCTAATATTTTAAAAAATGATTTAGTAATAATAATTTAACTAAGCAAATGTTAAGCCAGAGTTTAAATCTCATATGAATAGTTTAAAACTTTTAACTAATGATAGATATT